CCGCTCTTAGTCTGACCCGTCACCCAGGACCTGTTTGCCTTGGGAGACCCTACCAGGGACATATAGCCCCCGACAGCATAGCTCCTAGGATCACTCGGGTACTCAAACCCCTCTACCACAATAAGGTGGCGGTTCAAGGAGGGGTTTTCATTTTCCTATATTCTGTAATCAGCCTTTGCACTGTAATTTCCATAGGTTTTTGAATAAATACATTTTATCTTGAACTTTGTTGGCTTAAAAAGGTATTTGCTGGTTGTAGAGTTTTAGAAGTAAAGTACAATAATAACAGAGGGCAAGATTTCCATTACCCATCCACAGAGCTAGGCAGGTCTACTATATCCTCAAACTGCACACAGACATAAAAATGACATAAATGAGTTTGTGTGACTTTCACTCAGTAAGAACAATAGAGTAGTAAGATGAAATGAGCTCACTAATCCTAATCTTTGTGTGTGTCTTACTCAGATGGATGGGTTGGTGCGAGTGAATGGAGAGACAACAGAGGATTTATCTGTTCCCACTACACATGCCCCCCCACAGGGGATTAAAGATGTCACCTTCGAACAGACAGAGAAAGACATTCCCCCTAAGGAGACAATGAAGAATGAGGAGACGACAGAGCAGGCGCCCACTCCACAGACCGATAAATCGACCCAGTCTTCAGGCTGTGCCATCAGCTCCCTGATCGAAGGCCGAAGCTGTATTATCACAACAACTATTGTGACAGAACTCAAACATGTGGAGCTTCATCACCCAGATAGTCAAAGCAATGGACAGGTATTACTACAGGTGACATGTTAGAGGACAGTACCTGTGTCTACTGACCATTTACAAAAGGACACCGTTGATTTTTAGATGGTTCAATCTCTTTTCTACCTTCCAGGAAGACAGTTGTTTCAGTTCTGATCCATGCACTATAAAATCCACTTGAAGAAACTCGAATTTAGCTTGAGAGAAGGCAGTCCATCACAGTGAAAGCTCTGTTGTGCTTTCCGTTTTGTTTGGGCTAACACTGCTTGGAAATACAGATGAAAACTGGAATTATTTTCATTAAGCTCTGACACCTGAGCCATAAGAGTCAGCTGCCTCATTTTATTCTTGAGCTCTGCTGAAGGGAAATTAAACCCAGGAGACAACCCATGCCCACATGGGCATTATTAAAGGAATAGTGAGAATTTAATTGCTTCTTGCTTTAAGGTAGCAGTTCAGTACTCGTTTCCACTCTTGGAAGCACATGAAGACTCAAGTTGAGTTTCCAATCAGAAAATTATTGTTCATCATCACTACAACAAATGATAAGGCAACAGAATGTCAGGAAATTTGCATTGTCTACATTACCCTTCTAAAAACAATACTAGAAAACACAGAACAGACAATTAGCAAAACAATTTTAAATAATGGTTGCACAAGTACATTTGGTTTTAAACATAACCATACCTGGAACATGCATTTCTCAAACCCAGCTCCCTTATTTTAAAATACAACTTCATCAAGTCATGTTTAGTGTTCCAGTCTAATTTTTTTTCAGTCTTCTGCCAGAAAGCTGGAACTCAGATTGCCGAGCATGAGCCTCTTCAGTTGGTCGTTGTGATGGCTGGTCTATGTAAAGTGAGTTTCGAGTCTCTTCGGGTTGATTTTAATATTGCATTTACATGAACTGAAACCAGTGACTGACTGGAGGGTTAGGAAAAACATGAAAGCAATCAAAAGTCCTTAGGTGGTTTCCAGTAATTGTTTAGTCATTTAATTGAATATTCAATTGTTCAGGTTAATGGTACCTCAGGGATGTTTGGAAGACCAGCAGAGGGAAAACAGGCTCAGCCGGCCACATCGCCCAGCAGCATACAAGAATACTCTCCCACTGTCACTGGTAAAACTGCTTATGATTTATCACTGATCATTTACATAAGCATGTATATTTCTGTAAACTATCAACAAGTGTCATTTACAACATAATGTAACCTTCGCCTGCAGATGTTCTGTTTCGTTTCTTTTAGCAGCTGTGACTTTCATTGTCTTTCTGGTCTTATTCTACAGAGGGCCTTGAGGAGAGCAGTATGAATGTGAGTATCTCGGAGCACCTCCAGCTCATTCTTTCTGTTTCCCTTCCATTCACAGATTTGACCCTGTCCTGACCCTTTGTCTCCAGTAGTGGCTGTACTCAGACTTGTCCTCTCACCTTTCCTCTTTTTCTGTCCTTTTGGTCTGTATATGTGTGTGTGTGTGTTTGTGGTTGGTTGGTCGGGTCTGGGTAGATTGAGACCCCCATGTTGAACTTGGCTAAACGTGTTAATCACTGGGTCTGGGACCCCAATGAAGAGCGTAAACGCCTGGAAAGGTGGCAACAGGAGCAGGAGCGCCTCCTACAGGTACATAGGAGGAATGGTGGGCACGTGCATGGCCCCATGAATGTTTAGCAGAAGGCACAGGCTGTACTGGTGTATGTGTGTGTGTGTGTATATACATGTATGTGAATGCGTTTATATGTGTGTCATATGTGTGTTTTTGTGCTTACATTTTCCAAACTCTGTCTCTGCAGGAGCAATACCACAGAGAACAAGAGAAGCTAAAGAAGGAATGGGAGAAAGCACAGCTAGAAGTGGAGGAGGAAGAGAGGAAGCACAGCGAAGAGGTAGAAACACCCAGATGGACACACTGAAAATAAAACACACTGTTGCCAGGTTTTGTGTGTCTTATATCTTCCCCGTGTGCTTGTTTTGTATGTACTTTTTCCAGGAGAAAAGGATTCTAGAGGAGACTGTAACACCCCTCAGCCCCGCTGGCTTGTTGAACCAGGCAGGGACGACCTCCCCGACTCCAGAAAGCAACAAGACAGACAAAAGAAACATTCCTCTACAGCAAAACAGCCAAAGAATCTCTATAGGGAACGAAGATCAGCATGCATCAAAGCTGCATTTTTTCCAGGGTGAGGTTCACACAGAAAAACACACCTCTATGCAGGAGGTGTCTGTGTGTTTGTGCACAGCTCAGTCGCTCTCGGTTTCTGTGAGAAAAGTATTTCATGAAGTGTTTTTGTAGATTTTGCACGTGATGGCGAGCCATCAAGGAAACAGGAACTGTGGAAGACGGCCTCTTTAGATCGCAACCCTCAACTAAACCAGGCGCATGTTGTTAAGAGGTATGCTTGGATGCCTAGTGTGCACTTTTGTGTGTTTTGGATTTGCCCCAAGTTTCTGCCTTTTTATCTTGAATATACAGTATGTGAAGTTGTTTTATTGTTGCTTTCCTGTGATTTTCTGAGCACTTTGAACTGTTCCGCTTTTAACTGGGATCCAGCTTGGTCGCACATAAATTAATATATCAGAATTAGCTTTATTGGCCAGGTGTGTTGGACACACGAGGAATTTGACTCTACAGAAGCTCAATGCGTATGTACATGGCCTTACGTAAGGCAACAGTGGGCAAGTAACTTGGGAGTTCAGTGTCTTGCCCAAGGACACTTCGACATGTGGACTGCAGGCACTGAGATTTGAACCTTCAACCTTCCAGGTGGGAGACAGCTGCTCTACCCACCGCACCACTGTCGCCTATCCCCCAAAGTTAGTTGAGGGGGCATCTAGATGTAAAGTGATTATCTATATCCTAAAGATGACAAAAAATATGCTCATAAATTCTGAGCCACTCTGTCATGGTGAAAAATGTTCACTGGTTAATTTATTAATTTACCTCGAGCAAGATATATTTTATTGTTTCCTTCAAACATACTTTTCTTATGTTTATACAGTTGTTTTTTAATTCACTGAAACATGTTACAGATGTTTAAAAGGTGCATTATAATGAAAATTGTTTTTGACCACAGATCTGGATCGCATGATGTTGTAACAGGCAAACAGTCATCCTCCTCCTCCTCATCATCACCACAGCCTCCTTCACCAAGCAGGTAATGACACATGCACTCTCCCATGTGGTGCATAATCTGAATTATTGTCAGTTTACACTGCTATGTCTCTGTGTAGGTGTGTTAGTGGGAAGCGACTATGTTCTGGTTGTTCGCAACCTCTGGGAAAAGGAGCTGCCATGATCATCGACACACTGGGACTATTTTTCCACATACAGTGTTTCAAGGTATTGAATTATTCCAGTACACATGTGCACAGTATTCAAAACTTTATACAGAAGCAGCATTTGTCTTCTGGGTTTGAAGGTTTTGAAGATTAGCTAAAACATTAAAGCATCTGTACTACATCACAGTTATCTCCAAATGAGTGTGCATAAAAAAGAAAAAGAAAAAAATGACTGATAGAAAATTAAAATCAAAAACATATTTTTGATTTGTCATTTTTAGTGTTTGTATGACATACTGTAAGTAGCCATTAAGTTGTCATTAGGTTTGCAACCTTTTCAAATACAAGTTAACGTTAGCTGTTAACTGTATCTCTCTCCTCAGTGTGGAGTGTGTGATGGCCAGCTTGGTGACGCCACTGCAGGGACTGATGTAAGGATTCGTAATGGACTGCTGAGCTGTCATGAGTGCTATTTTGCATCTCGGGGTGAGAACACACACACACACAAAGACATACTTGTCATGCATTACTTGTGCATCCATCCATCTTCCTCCTCTTTATCCAAGACCAGGTTGCGGGGGCAGTAGTCCGAGCAGAGCCTCCCAGACTTCCCTCTCCCCACACACCTCCTCTAGTTTCTCAGGGGGAACCCCAAGGCGTTCCCAGGCCAGCCGGGAGACATAGTCTCTCCAAAATGTACTGGGTCTGCCCTGAGGCCTTCTCCCGGAGGGACATCCTCGGAAAACCTCCCCAGGGAGGCGTCCAGGGGGCATCCTAAACAGGTGCCCGAGCCACCTCAACTGGTTCCGCTCGACGTGGAGGAGCAGAAACTCATTTCTGCCACTTGTATTCGTGATCTCATTCTTTCGGTCATGATCCAAAGTTCATGGCCATAGGTGAGGGCCCTCCCTGGAACCAACACCTTAACGTGGTGGAGGGGGTTTGAGTGCCTGAATGATCCCAGGAGCTACAGTGCCTTGCGAAAGTATTCGGCCCCCTTGAACTTTGCGACCTTTTGCCACATTTCAGGCTTCAAACATAAAGATATAAAACTGTAATTTTTTGTGAAGAATCAACAACAAGTGGGACACAATCATGAAGTGGAACGAAATTTATTGGATATTTCAAACTTTTCTAACAAATAAAAAACTGAAAAATTGGGCGTGCAAAATTATTCAACCCCCTTAAGTTAATACGTTGTAGCGCCACCTTTTGCTGCGATTACAGCTGTAAATCGCTTGGGGTATGTCTCTATCAGTTTTGCACATCGAGAGACTGAAATTTTTGCCCATGCCTCCTTGCAAAACAGCTCGAGCTCAGTGAGGTTGGATGGAGAGCATTTGTGAACAGCAGTTTTCAGTTCTTTCCACAGATTCTCGATTGGATTCAGGTCTGGACTTTGACTTGGCCATTCTAACACCTGGATATGTTTATTTGTGAACCATTCCATTGTAGATTTTGCTTTATGTTTTGGATCATTGTCTTGTTGGAAGACAAATCTCCATCCCAGTCTCAGGTCTTTTGCAGACTCCATCAGGTTTCCTTCCAGAATGGTCCTGTATTTGGCTCCATCCATCTTCCCATCAATTTTAACCATCTTCCCTGTCCCTGCTGAAGAAAAGCAGGCCCAAAACATGATGCTGCCACCACCATGTTTGACAATGGGGATGGTGTGTTCAGGGTGATGAGCTGTGTTGCTGTTACGCCAAACATAACGTTTTGCATTGTTGCCAAAAAGTTCGATTTTGGTTTCATCTGACCAGAGCACCTTCTTCCACATGTTTGGTGTGTCTCCCAGGTGGCTTGTGGCAAACTTTAAACAACACTTTTTATGGATATCTTTAAGAAATGGCTTTCTTCTTGCCACTCTTCCATAAAGGCCAGATTTGTGCAGTATACGACTGATTGTTGTCCTATGGACAGAGTCTCCCACCTCAGCTGTAGATCTCTGCAGTTCATCCAGAGTGATCATGGGCCTCTTGGCTGCATCTCTGATCAGTCTTCTCCTTGTATGAGCTGAAAGTTTAGAGGGACGGCCAGGTCTTGGTAGATTTGCAGTGGTCTGATACTCCTTCCATTTCAATATTATCACTTGCACAGTGCTCCTTGGGATGTTTAAAGCTTGGAAAATCTTTTTGTATCCAAATCCAGCTTTAAACTTCTCCACAACAGTATCTCGGACCTGCCTGGTGTGTTCCTTGTTCTTCATGATGCTCTCTGCGCTTTAAACGGACCTCTGAGACTATCACAGTGCAGGTGCATTTATACGGAGACTTGATTACACACAGGTGGATTCTATTTATCATCATTAGCCATTTAGGTCAACATTGGATCATTCAGAGATCCTCACTGAACTTCTGGAGAGAGTTTGCTGCACTGAAAGTAAAGGGGCTGAATAATTTTGCACGCCCAATTATTCAGTTTTTTATTTGTTAAAAAAGTTTGAAATATCCAATAAATTTCGTTCCACTTCATGATTGTGTCCCACTTGTTGTTGATTCTTCACAAAAAATTACAGTTTTATATCTTTATGTTTGAAGCCTGAAATGTGGCAAAAGGTCGCAAAGTTCAAGGGGGCCGAATACTTTCGCAAGGCACTGTAAAAATTACTGCAGGTAGTGCAATGTAGGCCTAACTTCACAAAGGTTTATTCAGCTACTGTACAATGCTGACAAAATACTAAAGTACAGCTAAAGCTTATATATGTAAGGCTCCTGACAAAGGATCTCCCAGTTCTCCCAGGTCATTTTTCACAGAAACACCTTTTTATATTACAGTCCACACCAACAACACAGTAGTTTTGGAAAATAACTAAGTACATTTACT